GGGGGGGGAGGGAGGGAGGGGTCACCTGAGCTTGGGGGTTGTTGGAGGAGGTTGAGGATGTGGGGGTTGATGAGGGTAAAGATGCGACTCGCGATGAAGCGGAGGTGCCTCCGAAGACACCGAATGCCGATGGGCTGGCCGAAAAACCGAAGAGGAGTACCTCGCGCAAGAGGTCGTCCTCCAAGAGCACGAAGCAACCCCTTCCTGACGTCTCTGAGGCGACATCGCCGTCAATAGGTACCGAATTCCAACCAACACCAGCCGGTGACTTCCCCGACTCCGCCCTCCCTGTCCCTCTCGACGAAAAAAATGTGCCCGAAGTGCTCTCACCCACCAAACAATCCCTCCTCACCCTCAAACCCCTCCGTCCCAAGGCCATTTCTCCCGTTCCCGTCACCCCAGTCAACACTTCTAAGAAGCTTCCCCCGGCCGGCGGCAAAACCACGCCCCGTTTCTGCCCCTCAGTCTCATCCAGTCGTACTAGACTAGTGTCGAGTTCGACGGAGTCCCATGTCAGCAAGCACAAACATACGGTTGCGACGTCAAAGAAGCAACTCTCCGGCAAGAAGTTGTCGCTTTTGTCACTCGCGTCTTCTGCTAAGAGGCCCAATCCAGGAAGTGTGAATAATGTCTGGGCGGCCGACGATGAAGATGAGCTGGCCATCCCTGCTACTGTAATATCACCGATGCGCAGTTGGCGGGAGAGTCCGTCGAAGAGGAAGGCGGGGGTTAGGTTGGCGAGGGTTGTTGCGAGGAGTTCGTTGGGGGTTGGGCAGGCAACTGTCCCTCCTTCCTCTCCCCCTATCACCACCGCCAGCAGCAGTAGCAGCAACCGCAACAACCAGAACAACAACTCTGGAGTAGAGACCCCCTCCAAGTCTGGAATAACCGTAGCCAATACAGGGGAGGGGAGCGCAGCAACGGAGTCTACGACAGCGAACAAGTTCGTCACGGAGACGCCTACCGCCCCTAGAATGGTGATGCTCATGACTGAAGAGGGAGCTGGTGAAGGTGAGATGGTGCAGACGCCGGGAGGCACGATGAGGAGGTGTGGAGAGGGAGGGTTTAGGTGTGGAAGAGGGTTTTGTTTTAGTTGCCTGTGAGCCTACCTACCTACCTGCCTGCCTGCCTGCCTGCCTGCCTGCCTGCCTGCTTGCTTGCTTGCTTGCTTGCCTGCTTGCCTTGCCTGCCTTATCATGTTGAAACAGCGGTGGGAGTTTAAGGTTCAGAGTAGCAATGAAATGTCTACTGGTAGGGTGATGGAACGAATGCTTGATCAGAAGGGTAACGATAAAGGATTGTATAGTGGTATGGATAGAAGAGTCCAGATCAAAATTTGGCGGTTTTAACTTGGGAGTGCCACAGTTCCGATGGATGCATTGCAATGGTGTAATGTATGAACCAATCTTCCAGTGCCGCTCAGAATCTTCTTCCCAGTTGTTTACTAAATGTTGGGTGTGTCTCGGGTATGGATGAGGAGCATGCGCACATTTTTTTATCTCGGGAACGGTACCCGACCGACCATCATCGGGTACTTTGTTTCAATGACTAATGACCCAACACAGATGTCTATGTCACCAAATCCAACAAACTCGCCTTGGTTTTATATAGACTCGCAACTGCGCTTAACCATCCATCCATTGATCGCTAGCTACCCTACCAATGACAATGACCAAAGTTATACAGGAAGACAGAAAGGGGGATTGATTAAGCCATCATGACCAAATCATGACCATCCATGTTTGATAGAAACCATGCAATGCTGGCATGTTTATCCTCACCCTGCTCATCCATCATCCATCCTCATAGCCCTCTCTCTCTCTCNCNCTCTCTCTCCTCTCTCTCCTATCTCTCCTCTCCTCTACTCTCTCTCTCTCTCTCTCTCTCTCTCTCTCTCTCTCTCTCTCTCTTTCTCTCTCTCTCTCTCTCTCTCTGTCTGTCTCTGTACACCTCATTTCCCTCCCTCCAACACACACCATCAGCCTTCCACTCTCACTCGCCACCTACCTATGCATTCCATGGCATAAAATGCGTCAGTTTTGGATCCCACACTTTTCGTCCTCATACAGCTTCTCAGTCCTGACTGAATGCGACTGGAGAAGGGAGGTGAAAAACCGAGAAAAAAAAGAAATAGATGTATGACACGGGGATTTTTCGAAACTCCGAGGAGTTTTGATTGAAAGTTCATTAAGTGAAAAGGGTGACCGTGCCCTGAATCTTCTTTGATCGTCTGTTTGTCTTCTACTTTCACAACGCCAAGCTCTATCCAGCCTTTCTCCGAACAGGGGTAATCATTCCATGAAAACAGAGGTAGGCTGCTGGTTGATGATGATCCGTACATTGTTGACTTGTTTGATAGCTATCTGCAGGACTTCGTGGGCCGGTGATAATTCTGTCTCATTTCTGCACTCACTCGCTGAGACAAAATAACAGGGCCTCGGCTCATCAGTTGCGAACAAACATAAGACATGATCGTTATCGGAGGCGAGCTCAGAACTGTGTTTGTGTCAGAGTACCGTCGAGATAGGCGCGCAGGATCTCGGGGTCGCGGATCGGGGCGAAGTAGGGGTGGGCCATGGCTTCCTTGGCGGTCAGGCGTTCCTGGGAAGGGTCAGTATGGGCATCAACAGAAAAAGATGGAAGAAAAAATTTGGGGGAAGGACGTACAGCATGGTCATAACGCAGCAGCTTGTCGAGAAAGTCGATCGCTTCATTACTGACGAAACGCTGGTTCTCGGCGTTGACGAAGCTGTGCCAGGGCTTCTTCTGGAAGCGGCCGAGGATATCGTCGTACTGGGCATCCAGCTCGATGTCGTACTTGTCCAGGTAGTCGAACAGGTCGTCGGTGCCGAGCACCTTGGCGATCTTTACCAGCTGGTCTGTGTTGCTGTTGCCGTGGAAGAAGGGCTCTTTGCGGAAGATCATACTCGCGAACATGGCGCCCAGGCTCCACATGTCCAGACTGTAGTCATACTCCTGGAAGTCGACCAGCAGCTCGGGTCCCTTGAAGTAGCGTGACGCCACGCGCACGTTGTACTCGGTGCCCGGGTGGTAGAACTCGGCGAGACCCCAATCGATGAGCCGCAACTGCCAAACGTTAGCGATGATTTAAGCATTCTCCTAGCCAAAAAAAAAACAAAAAAACAAAAAAAAAAAAAGAACGAGAGCGAGAGAGGATACCTTCTTCTGCTCATGGTCGATCATAACGTTGTGAGGCTTGACGTCGCGGTGCATGATGCCCTTAGAGTGGCAGTAATCGAGGGCCTTGAGCAGCTCGTAGATGTAGTAGCGCACGTCGATGTCGTTGAACTTGGGGTAGAGCGTGCGGAAGTCGGTGTTGTTGATGTACTCGAAGATGAGCGACGGAGTCTTACTCTGGGCATCGCGCACGACGTCCAGCAGGGCGACGATGTTGGGGCCGCCGGCCAGGTTCTGAAGGATCTTGATCTCGCGCTTGATCTTCTTCTTCTTGACCGGCTTGAGCACCTTGATGACGCACTTCTGGTAGTTGACCACGTTGATGCCCTCAAACACTTCCGAGTACTTGCCGCGGCCGATCTTGCGGACGACCTCGTAGTTTTCGAGCACGCCCCAGCCTGGGCAGTTAGCGGGATACGTAGGTTTAAAAAGCAACAGCAATGTACGCACCGATGTTAACGCTGTCATAGTCCCAGTAGCTCCGGGGCATGTTCTGGTTGACGTCGGCGTAGACGCGAGCCATGGACACCATCTTGGCGGCTGCGCGGTCGGGGCCGCGAGGAACGTGATGTGGGAAAGGGTGTGCAGAAGAGTTGAAATAGCCGACAGGGTCGACGGCGGTGCCGTTGGCGACGGAGGTTGCGGGAGTGGAGTGGTTGAGATTTGCGATGCAGGTGATCGGCGGCGACGGTGACGATGAAGATGATGCGTGATGTTGAACGGCGTGGTAGGCCAGCAGAGAGTGCGCCAGAGAGGTCAGTGCGGGGCAGACGGCAGTGGGCAGGCTGAGCAGCATGGCACCAGTGACCAGCAGGTAAGATCAGAATTTGGCCTGCAACCTCAGGCTCAGGCGTGCGTCTGGTGGGTGGATCGAAAACAAGGAGTGAATTGGCCCTGGCCCTGGCAGCGCAAAGTCGAGCAAGGTGCAGGGTTCACGCGGTCTGGGTGTATGATCAGCTGATAAGGAGCCGATAAGGCTTATCGATTGTTTGCATGGGCTGATCCTCACCACCTTCCAAGTGAGTGGTCAACTTTTGTTCAAGCTCTTAAGTGTACGTTTCGTAGAAGTCGCGATGCTTCAGTTGTTTCCTTGCTTGCTGAGAAAGAGCGGGGTCAATTCTATCCAATGGGGGTTTCTCGAATTTATACCTATCTAATTTTAAATTTTTGTAATTCTTTTATTTTTTTTAAAAAAAAATAATTTTTCTGTGTTCCAACCCATGATGTGTACTGTTTGTTGACTTACACCATATTACGGACGCTAAGCTGGCCAGCACAACGCAACCCAACTTTCACGAAGCTTCCTTCTCTCAATTTCAATTCATCTTAATATCATCAGGAAAACAATCAATTGATGGCTTGAATTGAGTTTCTCTCTCATTTCGAATTATTTGTTTCAACCCCCTTGTGTGAGACATCAACTATGTTCCCCTCTCAACCAACCCCACCCCCAGCCTCTCGCCAACTTCTAGCGCAGCGTTGCATGCGCCGCAGCCCCTGCCACCCATTATCCCATTATCCAACCCCGTAGCCGGTAACCCGTAACCCCGTCGATATCCCCGTCGATATTATGCTTACAGCGCTTACAGAGCAACCGACGCCTCTCCCTGGGCTCCCTGAATCTGGACACCGCTCTCACGGCCGCCTTCATGTTCTCCAGTCGACTCTTGATCCGCTGAGCAATAGCTTTTTAGCGATTGCCAATCGCGCCAATGGACGGGAGGTCGCGCCGCTATCCATCGTCCACTCTCGCTCCCTCGTCGGTCTCTCGCCGAGAACGAGACCGCGACAGAGATCGCGACAGGGATCGTGACCGTGACAGAGATAGAGACGGGGAAAGGGGAAGCGAACGAGACAGCCACAGAGACCGTGATCGCGACCGCGACCGCGATGTTGATGATGCTGCCTCTTCAGCTCCATCCACATTACGGTCCCGCGCTGGCGCCGGCTCCATCCGCAACCCCCGTCTGCGGCCAACTGAGTCGCGCTACTCGCTGGCCGAGTCGTTCGCAATGACCAAGCGCGAGTTCGAGTTCGGCTTCGATGACGCCTCGTCCATCGCCGAGCGCGCCACCGTTGTGTCGGATACCGTGCAAGGCGATGAAGATCCGGACGCCCCCGTCATCGTGACCTCTTCCCAGGCCGCCCTGGCCCCGACCTATCCCCTCGGCGCCTCTGAGCTGCGCAACTACTACGAGCTGCTGTGTCTGCCCGCCAGCAACACCGCCGCCTTGTCCCCGGGCCAGGTCCGCGATGCCGCCCGCCGGGTCACCGAAGCGCTGGCGGCGTCGAAGCAGCCTCCTCATCTGCAGGGCACTGCGGCGTACTACCAGGGCCTCACGGAAGCTGCTTATGATACCCTTTCGAACCCCGGCCGTCGACTAGGCTATGATCTTTCCGGGGCCAAGGAAGCGGGGTCTGAACTCGACGAGGAGAGTTCTGACGAAGGTTCCGGCTCGGAAAACAGCCTCGAGGCCTACGACAGAAGGCTCAAGGAGCAGTACCTGGAGCTTACCCGTCCCCAGGAAACCGACGTCACGGATCTCGGTTTGCGAGTCGATGCTGCCTCTTTCCTAACTCTGAAGAAAGCACATGATGACCATCACGGAGGCCATCATGGCGGCACCTTGGAAGTCCTGGATTTCTCGCTTCGCAGGTCTGTCGAGTACGAGGTTCCTCAGCTGAAGGAGCGGGTCGAGCGTGCTGCGCGGTTCGCCTGGTATTTCTTCAAGGAGGATGACAATGTCCCTGTTCGCTTCAACACGCCAACAGTGGCCATCGAGGCCGGGGCTCACGGCCTGCTGGATGAAGCCTACCATGCCGCTCCCCGGGTCCTGGATCGTTACCAGCCGCCTGGTCCCTCTGTTCACGGTCGGAGACACATCGAACAGCTGCTCGCGTCGCGGTTCCTTCCGGTGCTGGGCGTGTCGGTTCGTCAAGAAGCCAAGTGGCGGCAGGACCGCATTTTTAAGGGTATTCCCGACCTGGTCGTCGAGCCGGAAATCGAGGTGCTGCCTCATCGGGCAGCTATTCTGCGTGTCAGCCATCCGATCGCCATCGAGGACCACGATGAGCCCGTGCATCTCGAGATGGCTGTTCACCAGCCTCTCCATCGCCATGGCGAAGTGCTCCCTACCGTAGGCTTGGCGGCTCACACGGAGATCGGCCACGGAACCGCCTTCGTGATCGCAGACGCCGGCGACTGGAGGTACTGGCGCGGGGGCGACTGCAGGGAGCTGCACACGGTCTCGAAATACGCCGGAAGCGCCCTGCCCATGGCCGACGTTTTCCTCAACCCTCCAACCCTCGAGATCGGCTACGCCTTTGGCAGACACGATCTCGGCCTTACCAACGGTCATGCCCTGACCCATCGTCACGGAAGGAATGTCTCAGCGCTCGAGCACGACCTCGACGACGGAGACCACGGCGAGTCGTGGACCATCTCGACAGGCTTCACCCGCGGCAACGCCGCCGCCTACCTGCGCTACGGCATCGACCTCTTCGCTAACCTCTTCCCCTCTAATAAGAAATCTTCCTCCTCCCGCCACGCTAACTCGGGCATCCGCGCCGAGGTCGAGCTCGCCGGCACCATCCACCGTGACTTCTTCCTCGCCTTCCGCGCTCTAAAGCGCATCGGGCGCTTCTCCAAAGCCGGTCTCGAACTCGGCCTCTCCCCAAGCAACCTCCACCTCTCGCTCTATTTCTCGCGTCTCGGTCGGCGCGTCAGCTTGCCTTTCCTGCTCGCCACGCGTGCGCCGCGCGCCCGTTCATGGGCTACGCGCCTCCTCTTCTGGGCTTCTCTCTTCCCGTTTGTCGCCTGCGCAGCCTGGGAGTTTTATAAACAGCATCTGCGGTCGCAGAACGGGAATGCGAAGTCGGCCGCTGAGAAGGAGAAGAAGATCCAGAGCTATATTGCGCGGCGTCGGGCAGAGGCAGATTCGCTTACTGCCGTCCTCGCGACGGGTGTTGAGCCCAGGCAGGCGGCGCAGCGCGCCAAGGGCGGATTGGTGATTCTTAGTGCCAAATATGGCGTGCGCGGGGCGCCGCCCGAAGAAGTGGCTGATGTGACGATTGCGTTGGCTGCGTTGGTGGATGATGAGGGGCGGTTGGTTATTCCTAGGGGGACGAGGAAGAGTAGGCTGTTGGGCTGGTGGGACCCGGCGCCGGGGAGAAGGAAGGTTCTCAAGGTAAAATATCTTTACAGGGGGAAGGAAGGGATTGTTGAGGTGGAAGGACGGGATGGGGTTAGGTTGCCGTGAGGGAAGGCTATGAATGATTTATGACTTGTGTGGATTTTTTTTGTTTTTTTTGTTTTTTTGTTTTTTTGTTTTTTTGTTTTTTTTGCGTTATGAGGGATGGTATTTTGGTAACAAAAGCTGATGATTTTGGGTTGGATGTTTGGATATTGTTAGGAGGGATGATGTTTGGTCATTCACTTGTTGGTAGGATATGTTTATTTGAATCGGATACATGTTCCTTGAAGCGAACCTCCTGACTGAGTGACGGCATGATGTGTAGTCCTCACAACTTTTAAAACTCTACAGCCTTCTGACCTCTTGGCCTGACATTCAACCTTTCTCTCCTCCTTTGCCTCTCTCGCTCTCTTTCTCTCTCACTCTTCTCACGCTTCTCTCTCTCTCTCTCT